CTCGCAACTTATTCGAATTTCAAGATGCTCTTTTGGCGTCGGATTCCATCAATCCAAGAATCTGATCATTAGTGTACTCCGATCTAGAGTCTTATACGGCAGTCCCATCTGGGCTACCAATAGGAAACACTCAACCATCAAGAATTTATTTGATAAAATCGACAATCAGGCCAATAGAATCATCTTAGGCCTTTTCAAAACCTCTCCGTGCAAATTCCTCTCTAGAGAATCTCCTCTAATTCCATTCTTTGAAGTCTTAAAAAGAAAAAATCACCTTTATATCATCAAAAAATCAACAGCTCCATCTTCTCATCCTATAAAACGCCTAATCGATTCAGAAATCTCAAACTCGCCTTCTACTCATCCCTCTCCCATCCACAACATCCTCGACAAACACTTAATCAATGACTACGACCTTCCCTCAATCGAGACCATCCAACCTCATATCATCAACCCTTGGGAAGACTTTTCACTTCCTATCTCCAACTTAAAAATAAAAAAAGAAGACATAAAATCAATAGTTCAATCTCAGATCGACAATTTAAAATCGAACTCTGAACATCTCATCTTCACAGATGGATCAAACATTCCAGAAAATGGAGCCGGTTCAGCAGCCATCCTGGACAACTTTCTTCAATCCTCCTGTCGCATCAACAGTTCAGAAAAAACGTCCGCATTCGAAGCAGAAGTCCAAGCTATCATTATTGGCTTAGATATCTTTATCAACCAACACCTATCATCTCCTTCAACGTCTGTCTCCACTCCGCCGATCAATTTCTTCGTCGACAACCAAGCCACTCTTTATTCCATTTCCCATCCTCCACTTCCTATTTCCTATCAATCTAACTTTATCAACATTTTCAATAAGTTCAAGATAATAATCAATTTATGCCATATTCCTATCCATCTCCATTGGTGCCCAGCTCATGTCGGCATCCTCGAGAATGAAAAAGTAGATGAACTTGCCAAAGCAGCTACTCTGAATACACACCCAACACGTCTCAACAACCAACTACGCTCGTTATCAAACATTCAACAAATTGCCCGAGCCAATTTCAAATTCAACAAGAATAAGAAGTCAATCACCCGCAACAATACTCGGCTCTCCACAACTCCGCTCAAAATATTCAAAAGCATCGACTCTCTTGAAAGAAGCGCAGGATCCATTATCTATCAACTCCGCTCCGGTCATTGCGCACTCAACAAATACCTTTTCTCCATCAAAAAGCTCGAGTCCCCCAATTGCGACTTCTGCAATTCACCGGAAGATGTCAAACATTTCTTAGTCTATTGTCCAAAGTTTGATCGTCAAAGAAAAACATTTAGAAATTCTCTCACATCAGAAAAAATCAAGATCGACGTCAATTCAATCAAAGGCTTACTCGACACACCTAAATGCTTCAACCTCCTCTCAAAGTTCATCATAGATACTCATCGATTCAATCATCTGAAACATTATCTGGAAAAAGAAGAAAATTAAAAAAAAAAAAAAAAAAAAAAAAGTCTCTCTAGTTATCATTTTCTTTGGTAAAAAGTCATCAATTTCTTTGGTCTAAAAGTTATCAGTTTCAGTCATCACTTTCTCTTACATTTTTCATCCAACAATATAATCATCAATAAAACGATCGGAACCATTTCTTTTATCTTCTTTTTCATTTCTTTTTCTTTTATCTTTTTTCTCTTCTCTTTTTTATCAAATCTCGACAGTCTTCATCACTCAGTTTCATTTAATTTAGAAGATTAAAATACTACTAATTTTTTATTAAGTTGTATTCTCAAAATAATAGTTCAAAAACATCATCGAGTGTATCTACATAGAATGTATTACTTGAAGTGCGCAATGTCAAAACAATCAGCACTAAAAAAAAAAAAAAAAAAAAAAAAAAAAAAAAAAAAAAAAAAAGGAATGAAGAACAGAGGTGGAGTGATCTTATCGCTCATGATCTACATATAACTAAAAAAATGGCCTCAGAGGGCCAAACAAACTGTCAGCCTTTGTATTGATTTCTCATGCGGCTTCTAACGCGGGCGTCGATGTTGCACATTTCAATGTCATTTCCGACATAAGACTTTACAATCATAAAAAAAAAGAAAAAAAAAAAAACAGAAGGCTATTACACCATAGGACTTCAAACAAGTAAAATCCCCAACATCCGGGGCAAAAACAAACCGCCTCCCCAAATTTGGGGGCATATACTAGTGTATGTATACAAATTATTCAAGTGGATGGAGAATGAATGGTTGAGTGGGAGTCAACTGGGACTCGATTGGCGAAGATAATAGAAATATGGAAGAACCCCAAGCAACCCCGGCCGTCATGACCCTTTGATTATAGGATGATGGCATGGGTACATAGTACTTACATCAATAGGGGTTACAGATTGAGGTTGTTCAGTTGGGGAGGATGAAGAGAGCTGATGGATGAGAAGTGACAACCGAGCTGCTGCTGAGCTGGTGAAGTGATGTTGGGATGCAGTGCTCGTCGATTCATGCGCACTGTAACTCCGCCAGTCGTCAGCTTCTCATAAACCTTTAACCAAAACATCTTGCCAGCTCCCATTGGACAGCGACTTCAAAGATACACTGAAAGAAGATGGATGAGGATTATCTCAAGACCAAGAACTACTCACAGTCCTCAGCGATCCTCTCGCTCACCAATCGATCGTTGCATTTCCTCAAGGAGTCGATCGTCAATACGAGCACCTTCTCCCCGATCATCTCACTTGGTCAGTCTTATTACTTCTAGTTTACCTATACTGCCTCAAAGAGAGGAAATACAGACAGACGGATCTCTAACACTTGACTTCGTACCCCATACAGCAAAAACGACGATCATCTCGTTGATGAGCAAGATAGAATATGGTCAAATCAAACTGAATACGGAGACCGAGAGCTTGGTCTTTGGTCGCTCGAAAGTGCATCCAGAGACTAGCGAGGAGCTGGCAGCAGTCATCCAAGTTGTCAATGATGCATTCTGGCTTCGGATGTTCTTACTCAGCGATATCGGGTTCGCCGAGGCTTACATGGTCGGAGACATCCAAGTCGACCGACTGGACTCGCTCTTTAAGGTACGTACGCCCTTCGCAAACCTCTTAGTTTTACAGCCAGACCCCGAATATGCACTCATCTCGAGTGGTTTTCTCTTCTTAGATATTCATCCTCAATCGCTCGAATTTATCCGAGATGTCCATGATCACCTCCTCACTCTTTAGCACGCTCAACTCGATCATGAACTCCCGCTTCGTCAACTCGATCTCCAACACGATCTCCAACATCTCAGCCCATTACGATATCTCGAACGAGATGTTTCAGGCCTTCCTGTCCAAGGACATGACCTACTCGTGTGCTTATTTCCCGCCCTCATTAGGTGGTCCGGATGGAGATCTGAAAAATCAAGAAGAAGGAGAAAATGGAATATCTGCAACGGGAAAAGATCGATTAGAATTAGCTCAATACGAGAAACTGGACTTGATTATTGAGAAGGCGAAGATCAGGAAGGGTGATCGAGTGTTAGAGATCGGGTCTGGGTGGGGAAGTTTTGCGATCCGAGCGGTGGAAAGAACAGGGTGTCAAGTGGACACGATCACCCTTTCGATCGAACAGAAGAAGCTGGCCGAGAAACGGATCCGACAGGCCGGACTGGAGCAGATGATCACCGTCCATCTGGTCGATTATCGCGACCTACCCAGCCGGTTCAAGGTCCCCTTCGACAGGATTGTCTCCATCGAGATGATCGAGAGCGTCGGCGTCGAGTTCCTCGATACTTATTTCGACGTCGTCCAACGGTGCTTGCATCCTAAAACTGGTATCGCCGTCTTCCAAGTCATCACCATTCCCGAATCGCGCTTCGATCGATACGTCAAGTCAGTCCCATCCCATCCTCCCCACCTCTTTTTTTTTTGACGGGTCAAACAAAAACTTGAAGAATTTGATCCTCTAAGAAGAATGTTTTGTGTGATGTGGACTTCAAATTTATTAGGGAAGTAGACTTCATCAGGAAGTGGATCTTTCCAGGCGGAATTCTGCCCTCGGTGACGTTCATGACGAACGCGATTTCGAAAGGATCGAAGAACCGCTTGCTGATTGACTCGATCCAGAACATTGGACCTCGTAGGTCTTGATCCATCAATTCTCTTAAACAAACAAACACTCACAAATCCCAATACCTTTTCCCTGTTGTGATTCATGCCAGATTACGCGCGGACCTTGAGGGAATGGGAGAGCCGATTCAAACTGAACTTCGATCAACTCGTGGCTCCCTGCTTGGTCAAAACGTATCCCGAGTTGGTCGACAACCCTCATCGAATTCAAATCTTTAAACGCAAGTGGATCTGTCAGTGTACTTTCCTCTCCATCTCACCACCTCTACTTCCTTCTCTCGTGTTTGCAAAAGAAGCAAAGATAAGATTGGGATGATTGACTTTTGTTTTTACAATCCTTTTCTGAAATAATTAAACTTCGCACTAGATTACTTTGAATACTGTTCAACTGGCTTTGAATCAAGAGTCTTAGGAGACCACATCTTCACTCTGACAAGAGAAGGAAACCTGACTCTCTAATAGAAGATAGACATACAATGTAATCAACGAAGCAAAACAAAAATTATTTATCAAAGAAAATCTATTTATTTATTTATTTATCATAGAGATTAGCATGTAACTCTCTCACTCCCCTTGAGACCATTTAATACCCTTGCAACTATTATAGCAGCTCACTAGATCATGGTAATTTTCTTTCTGAGTCAAACCAGGCTGAGAGAAATTGGGATGTATCTCTCTTTCCAATTCTACTACCAGATGTGTGCACTTTGTCCTTGATGGATCAATTGCCTCAACATCTGGATGTGGATGTGTCATATTGGTTTTTTGTGACCAGATCACCCCCTCCCCTATGTGATACCATGGCCAATTTTAGCTACTGGGACAAGCTGGGAACTTCAGGAATGTGGTGGATTTCTTAGTGAACAAGTTTGTAAGCTTTTTTTTTTTGGAATATTACATAGGATATTGCAGGATTGTATGTATGTAGATTATAATAGTCATAGAATATTAATATTAGGGGAGTCAAATTTTGAATTTCATGAACTGATATCCTGCAATTCTCAATAATTAAAAACAGAAAAGGGTTTTTTTTTGCCTTCTGTTCAGAGTAGTTTGACACCACATTCATGACAGTGACACTCAAATGTGATGCCAACAAATTTGGGCTTGTTTATGGACTAATGATAATGTTATGACAAAAAGCAGTCAAAAAGAGAAATATAAACAATCAGGTTGTTTTTCTCTTCTTGGCATTTTTTTCAATGGAAGTTGATTGATCTTCCTTCCCATTATCATTACTTGAACTTTTGGATTTTAACTCAGTAAAGATTGTTTTTGTTCTAGAAAGTAATTTGATCATAGTATGCCAAAAGCAGTGATCACTTGAGAATAGTTTGTTCCATTGATTTGAATGATGATTTTTGTACCAATAACCAATCAAAAATATTGTCAACTGAGTCAATTTTTTATGGCATAAAGGACTACTGAAATAGTCTATCAACAGATATTGGACCTCTCCAAATTGTTCCTTTTCTAGAGGTTGATCAAAATTTTCTATCCTCCCAAAAACTGGAAGACTTCCATGTGGTTTGAATAACTCAACAGAAAACCATCCCAATAGTTCATCTCTTGATTGTTCTGACAAATTGGGGCTTGTTAATTCTAAGCCTTCCTTTTCAAAATTGATATAGCTGACTAGGATAGAATTAAAAAATACCAAATGTAAGATAAGGTTTTTGGACCTCTCTATTAATTTTGAAATTCTGATTATATTCTGAAATTTGCCGAGAATTTTGATTGATTCTATGGTTGAAGTTGAGGAAAGTAATGCATGTTCACTGTTTGATGATACAAGATATACTGGGATGCCTTTAAAATTCCTTCTAATTTGATTTTTTGGTGGGATATCAATTTGAAATTCCAAGATTTGTTCCAGTATTTTGTCTGCTCTTCCTCCCCATCCCACAAGCTCATCATACCATCTATGTGAAATGATTGACACTGGCAAATCTTCAACATTGAGGAGCATGAAATTCTTAATTCTGACTGGACTTTGTGACCCACTTTTGATCTGAAAATCAATTTTTGAATTTATTGCATCCAATATCAAATTGTTGACTAGGAATGAGATTTCTGATTTGTCATGTACTTCCATAAGGGATTTGGGGATAGTAGGATTGAGCTCATGAAACCACTTCAAGATCACTGTGCAAGCAGTTTTAAGGGTTAACTCATTGGAATAATATCTGGATAAAAATGTGACCAGATGTTTTTGAACATCTTGAAATGAATTTTCATTCTTAGGATTTGGTTTTTGAATGAATCCAATGACAGGAAAGCTGGAGCTTGGTTGGAATGTTTCTCTGATCAACCATTCAATCAGCTCATTGTGATAAGGATGTTCATTTTCTGGGGTTGATTCTGCATTCATTCTTCTCATGATAGCCGTGTTGATGAAGAGTAGCCATCTGATCAAACGTTTAAAGTGACTGCAGAATGTGGCTTTGTGGATGTATTTCCCATTGGTCACATTGATAGGACGGACAAAACCATTATTCTCAATGACGGGCATGTTTTCGAACCGGAACGCTTTAGAGATCCTTCGAATACTGCGTAAATAGCATACACTTTCATACTTTTGGGTCACTCTCTCAACAAATTCATTCAAAAGTGGATGTTCGATATTTTTTAGCCGGAAGTTTTTGGCATTGCGGAAAAAATTTTCAATGCATTTATCATCTTCCTCATTGGTCGGATTGATCGGAATGTGATCAATTTCATAGTTTATTTGATCTTCAACTGATCCGGCGTCCGCCTCATATGCTTTCTGTTGATGTGTTGGTTGATGGTCATGCTCTCCTTGAGAATAAATGGTGTTTACATAGGACGATCAAGTAAATTCAACATCAGATAAGGTACATTGAAATCATTTGACAATTTTTAAGTACCACAAAACGAGCCCTCACCTTCTGAAGAATGAGTAGTCTCAAGTCCGGAGTTGTAGTTGTCGAAAGATGGTATGGCCGAAGAGAAGATTCCTGCTGCTCGATCAGAAGAATCATGTAACCATGTTTAGTGAAAGATTTCTTTGAGTGATGGATTTTTGAGGATATGAAGCGATCTTACCTGTTTCTTCATCATCATAAGTTAGTTGTGGAAGAAAACCTTCAAATGGATGTGTCCATCCGAACTGAGTATGATCTGACTGAAGCCTGTTTCCCGATGAATCCAGACCCAAATCGCCCACATCTTCGACGTTATGTAGTGGAACATCGCCTGGCAGCCAGTGCCGCGCCGCGATTTGCTCCACTGCTTGGTCTAACACAGGAGCGGCCTGGTAGCTTGGAAAATCCCACACCGATTGCTTGAAACTCACGAGGAAGAAAAAGGTCGTCCGACGCCATCCAGACATAGCTCCCCAGGAAACAGAGCGCACGTCACAGATACTTTATGAATCTTTTGCAATCTCGATTCGGACTGATGATCGTGAGCCCTAACACATCAGACGAAAAGTTGAGATGTTGCGATCAAAAAATATGTAAAATAATTCATCTCAGTGGATCACAATCATTTTGAGTGTGTAGCAGTGTCAGCAGATTCCAGTACAGCTCACGCTTATTAGTACTGGTTTCATGGCGAGTATGTAGGTAAGCCACGTCACTTGCAAATTCCAACGTCTTTATCCTTTTCCTGGGGCCTTGGGGATGACACATGAAGAAAAGACTCATCCTGAGTCAAACCTGCGGCCCAGTCCATGCTTCAGCCTGGAGAGCGACTGCGTGTGTAGTCCATCCTAGGTTTCCCCTGCAAAGACCAAGTGTTTGACAGTCGTCTGTTGCGTTCAGAGCACCAGAATCGCTGCCCCGATGCAAATAATTATTTCTGTTGATGTTTGCAAGGGAAATATTGACCCTCGAAGTGTAAGGACTCTGTTAGTCCTTCACTGGATGAAGGGGAAAGGGCGCGGAGACGGGCTAATGAGCCGAAGATTCTAAGACCAAACTGGGGGGGTGTTTGTATTTCTGGCTGGCTCAGAGAGAGTGCGGGGTCAGTTCTCTCGTACAACTTTAGAAATCAAGAGAAAACAAAGAGAATGAAAATGAAAAGAAATCAAAGGCTCACCTGGCTCAGAGAGAGTGCGGGGTCAGTTCTCTGCTGAGCCAGGAAGAGAAAGGAGAGCTAGAAGTAAGATAGAGACAAGAGGACATGTACATGACAGCCTTGTGAAACCCAACATGGGAGGGTTTTTTTATTTTTCACAAAATTTCAAACTTTATTTTTTGCTTTTATTATTTCATATTCATTTTTTGGGACCTATTATGCACCACCTGACCAAGTCTCATGATTTCCAATTTGTGCTCTGGAACTCTGGAATCCAAAATAGGCAGCCACTTTTCACTGTCTAGGCACTGTACACACCCCGCACCCCGGCTCCCTTACTTACACATCCGTCATCGGCCTTACACACCCACACCGGCCTTACACATCACTTAACACATCCGGTCGGCCTTACACATCATCAACACCCGCACACCGGCTCCCTCACC